CCATCTCTATCCTCTCATTCACTCTCCTCCTCCTCCTGCTCTCCCTATTTACAATCTCCCATACTTCCTTTTCTCTTCTCGCTTCTTCCGCTTGTTTTTCCCATTTTTGGTTCTCCTCCTCCTTTTTTTCACATATTTTCCCGTATTCCCTCTTCTCTCTTTTGTACTTTTCTCCATCCCCCCTCTTCTCCTCTACTCCCTTAATTCTTTCTTTACCCTTTTCTTTTCCTGGACACATTCCTTATCCCACCACCTTCTTCTCCTCTCTTCCACTCTCCCCAGCTCTTCTTCCGTCTCCTTCAACGCTTCTTTTATTTTGCTCTCCAGATTATCCTATTCTTCTCCTATTTCTTTCCCTCCTATTTGTATCCGTCTCATTTTTTCCGTAAACCTCTTTCTCCCTTCTTTGTCCCAAATTCCCCTTCTACCCCCCGCCCCTTTCCCTCCTCAACGCTCTCCTCTCCTCTCCTCCTCTCAACCATACCTCCACCGGGTGATGATCCGAGTCCACCCTGTCTCCTATTCTCATCTCTTTTATCCTGTCCCTTATCTCCCCCTCCCCTATTACATAATCTATAACTGTGTTTCTCCTACCCCCTGTGAACGTGTACTCTCCCTCTTCGTCTCCTCTTACGCTCTCGTTAAAAATTTCCCACCTTTTTCCTTCTATATATTCTACCAACTTCCTCCCCTCCCCATTTATTTTTATGATCACCTTTTTCCCATCTCTTCCTCCTCCTCTTCTTCCTCCCTCCTTACACCTCCCCCTTTACTTTCTGTTCTAGCATTAAAATCCCCCCTATTATCTCCCTTACTCCTCCCTATCTTTCCCCAATCCATTCCTTTATTCCCTGCAAAGTCCTCTCCACTCCTCCTTCCCCCACATATACCCCTATTACCTTCCATTTTTCTCGCCCCGTATTTACCCTTCCTACTATCATCCCTTCCCTCTCCACCTCTATCCTGGACCCCTTTTCCCACAGCTCCTTTTTTATCCCCATCACCATTCCCCCTATTCTTCTCCCTTTTTTACATTACCTCTTTGCCAGCTGCACCCCCCATTCATATCCCTGTGGTAACCTTTCCCTTATCTTTTTCCACC